ATGAAGGGAATGGTCAAAATCCCTGTGTGTCTTGGGCGGGGACGGGGTAGGCAGGGAGGGTTTAAGAGAGGAACGACCAGTTGGGAGGTTGCTGCTGTAGCCAAGGTGAGAGCTGTTATGGCTTGGAGTAGGCAGGTAGTGGTGGAAGTAATGAGAAGTCAGATTTAAAATATATTTCGAATTTATAAGCAAGTCCTGTCAGCTCTACCTTCAAAATTAGATTACATAAATTAGAGTATATTTTGAGCCTGACAGGATTTGCTGATGGATTGGAGGTGGGATGAAAAAAAGGAATGATGGCCAACTATTAGACTTCTGGCTTGAGCTTGTAGCTGGAACGGTGGTGCTATTTACTGAGATGGGGAGCTGAAACAGGAAGAGGACCTGCCCCTCCTCCTATATTTCCAATCTGGGTAAATGGAACCACCATCCAGTCAGAAACCTGAGCCCCATCCAAGGCCCTGTCCTAAACAAACAGTCACCAAATCTATTAACTCTACTTCCCCAAAGTTTCTCAAATTTGTCCCCTCCTTTCTACCCTCACTGACTTGCACAGCTCTTTGACCAAATTACTCAGCAAAACTATTGAAATGGCCTTAATAATCTCCAAGTTTAAATTCCAGACCAACATGAATGCTATAAATTGTTCCTCTGCTTAAAATTCAACAATCTTTTTAAAGAACAATTTGGCAATGTCTATCAAAGTTTAAAATGAACATGCCCTTTGATTGGCTCTCTTTTATGATTCTATCATATAGAAATACTCAGAGAATGAAAATATGAGGGTAATTCATTATAGCATTTTAATAGTGAAAAACTGGTCACTACCTAAATACCATTCAGTAAGGGAATTGTTACACAAAGTATCATACAACTATAAAATTCTATGTAGTCCTTATTTTTAAAAATGAAGCAGATCTAAATATATTGATATGGAAAGATCATTCAAGGGCAGATGGCAAAAGCAAATGGCAATGTGCATGTGACTGCATTTATTTAAAAGGCATTGCAGTATAACTGCAAGTATGTGTGAATGTTGTTTCTAAAGGCTTAGAAATAATCTGGGATGATAAACATTCACCTGTTGACAATGGTTATCGTGAAGTAGTCAGATGGGGATGGGCTGGGTAGGGAGTTTTCATTTTTTACTGTATAAATCTTATTGGATGAATTTCTAAATAATACATTTATATAACAGAAACAACAACAAACTCTACGACCATCCTGTATGCCTTGACATGATTCAAGGCACTTTAGGACCTGGTACCAGCCTCTCTCCAGACTAATTTCTCAGACTTATCTACATTAGGTAGGCGATAGTGTCCTCTTGTGTGATGGGAAATGTGGGCTGACTGTTGAAACTGGGTCTGCTTTGCAACTGGAAGAGGAAAAGCAGCCTCTAGTACTCAGAAGGTGTGAAGCTCTTTCTGAAGAGAAGCTAAGGTACTTCTTCCTCCCTTTGAGGGCACAGAGAAACCAGTTCATTCCTTTAGCTCTTCAAAGGAAGCAGCAAAATTTCATGACTCTTTGCCCTTCTCAACCCATCTGGCTTTACATGTTTTAAGAGTACCTGTACTTATCTTCAGTTTATTTGCTTCTTTTGTAATATAAAAAGCCAACAGAACAGACAGTAAATTTACCATAGTGCCAGTTTCTTTCTGAAAATCTTCCCCATCTCCCCTAGAGATTTCTAGATATTTTTAAAAAACAAAGACATGGTAGCCCAGCTCTGCTAGAGATAACACATTAAATTGCTTTGGTGGAAACAAAATACTAAACAAATAGAAGACGGAATTATACCAATTTCTAAATTCTAAAGATTTTCATATTTGGTTTTTTTGATTGTCATTTCTTATTTTTTTAAAACTCAGGAATAAAGAGAACAAGAAAGTACATATGTTAAGTCTTTCTATTGTGGTCCTGGCTAGGAATCTAGCCATAGAGCCAACTGGTCGGAAAGAAAATGAACTGCTCTTCCCAATCTTGTTCCTACTGAGTGTCCAGTTCTCTCAAAACAATACAAAAAGAGTTATGAAATATTCAGTTTTTTTCCCTCAGCCTTTTGGATAATTAGAAATGAAGTACCTTGGCAAGAAAAGAAAAAGGAAACCTAATTAACAATTGTTTATGCTGTGGTTTGCTACATTGTAAATCGTAAACCTGCCACCTACACTAGTCCCTCAATTAAAATATCCTTCACCTGGTTTGAATTGCTGTACCACATCAGACTTCTTGGTTTTTTTAGGGAGATTATTATTATTTGGACTCATTTTAAAAGGTATTACCTACCACTTACCTCCATAAAATATCAGAGAAGGGAATCATTGGTGATTCTAGCATTATCCTCTGATTATTGACAGCTAAGAAACTGGCCCAGAAAGATTACATTAGATAACAGTGTCACAGTGCAAGTGTCTAGTTAACTGAAGCTGGGACTAGAACCTAGCCACCTGACTTCCGGGCTATGCCAAATTGGATATTTTCTCTTAATCGTGTAAATACTCCTTAAGTATTGACAGTTTTGAGAAAAAGGGGTATCTAAATAAGAAAAAGGCTTCACCTTCAAGGGCAGATAGAATGAAAGCAGTTTCCACCAGATACAAGGTTGTGGATCACCTAGGGCCAGGTTGTTATTCATCACCTCACTTGCAGCAAAGTATGATGAGTAATATTTTTCAGTGCAGTGAGAAGAGAAAACAATCCTTTTAAAGCCACAGTTAACCTCCCATGCCGACTCCTAGAGGTGGGGAGATGGCTCCTTGGTTAGGGAAACATCTTGATAGGCCTCTTGGGATAGGATAGGAGCTTTCAAAGCACCATTTAGAATAGGAATAAAATAAAGAATGAAGTTATTTTCTCTAATACACTTATAACTTTCCAAGGCCTTTGGAAAGAAAGAGGTGATGAAGAGAAGAATGAAGAAAGCTGAAATTTTAGCAAGATTTGGAGGCTGGATTCTACTTGGGATGAAACCTGTGAGAATGATGAAGGGACTCTTTAAGAACAAGGATGTATAGGATCCACTCTTATAGTCCTTGATTATGCAAAGCTGAGACAAAAACCCCTCACTGCCCATGCCCTGCCCATTACTGTAAAAACTTCAGGGAAGATCAGCTACACAGACTTGGGTTGATGGCACTATCGGGGTCATATAGTGGGTATGAGACGTAGAGAAGCCAGGGAAGCAGAGAGGCAGAGCAAGAGGATACAAACCACCAAGCCCTTCCACTGAAAAAAGAAACAATACTGGAAGTATCCCATGATGTTAGGATAAAAATGTTCTACTTAAATCTTAAAGGACAGTGGATAGGTTGGGACGCCAGGGCCGCTCACACTTGAGTTATACTACAGCCAACTTCACTCAGAGACAACAAGCTCCTGGCCATCCCTTATTATAGGCTCTGGGTAGTAACTCCAGTCATCCTGAGGCCAAGAGACACTGTGACTACATGTAGCAACCAACCTTGTGTGTCAGTTGCTTTACCAGAGCTTCAGAGGCTGATAATTGGCAGGGCTCCCATTTTTGGTTATTCTATCACTGACTGACTTTTCTCACCAGAATATTGTGCCACTCAATAGACATAAACCTGTCTGATAAAGTAATATCAAACTCTATTGAGTCATTAGATATGTTACTGAAATATATGGTAATGTTCAAAATTTTACATATTAAATTATATTTCCCTATTAATTATGAGTATAAATTCAGAGATGCTTGTCTAAGGAAATGATGAACCCAGGATTAAAAAAAAATGGTACACCTAAAAATCCTAGCATTAACATAAAAAGCTTGCTTTTTGTCACTCTGCTATTTCTTTAGTTCTACCAGGTATTTTCTACATGAACTTCTTTAAATGTCCATTTGATTCTTTTTCCAAAATGGGAGCATCTTTTCCATTATAACACATTAAGACCACTGTAATTCTCATTCCTAATTATATATACCTTTATACATGTATCTGCCTCACAGGTTTGTTACAAAGAATTAAATGAGTCAACATATGTAAAGTACTCAGTGTCTGACACACAGTAAGCACTATATGTTAGCTACTTTTTTCTTTACATACACACACACACGCAGAAAAATCGAATCCTTCTATACTTAATACATTATGAATATCTTTTCCCAAGAATGATTCTTTTTAATGGCTACATGGAAAATAATTTAACTAATTCATGATTAATGCACATGTAGTATATCTATGTATCTAGTCTATTCCAAACACAGCTGCACTGAATACACTTATCTATATTTTTGTCTTCACTTGTGATGTTTTTCCATAACACAGATTCCATACACACACACACACACGAAAGGAAAAAAGAACTAGGCCTTGACGTATGCTCATATACATACAGAGGAGGAAATAAAGTCTGAAGACTGAGAAGGAAGAGCCAATAGCCAATGAAGTAAAGAGAACCAGGTCAGTATAATGGCTAGGATACCAAATGAAAACATTTCAAGGAGAAAAGATGGGTTGACAGCATCAAATACTGAAGAGCAGCCAAAGAGACTGAGAAATAAAGAGCTGTAAGGTAGGACAATGAGGACCGGAGAGGGCTGTTTCAGTGCAGTAACAGGGCAAAACCCAGACTTCAAGAGGGAGATGAAAGAAATATGCAACTAGTCTACATGATTCTTTAAGAAGTTGGCAGATAATGGGAAAGAAAAATAGAACAGCAGCTTTAGGAAGTAGAACATGCAAGCTAGATTTAAGAAAAAATAGCAATAAACATTTATTCATTGAAATAAAGAGCTGACAGTTCACCTACAACTATGTTTTAAAACTTAACAGCTAATTACTATTTTATTTAAATGAACTTCTTTCTAGAACTATGAAAGTTTAAAAAACAATGTTTAAAGTTGAATAGCCCCATGTGTACAAGGCAAATATATAAAAGTCATTCTTAAGGCAATTTATTGCCAGAAAAAGTTTAGACCACATACAATTGCATCTATTATTTGAAATATAATCAATAAGAGAAAAAAGTCTGAAACATTTTTTAATGGCAAGAGTATTCATTTTAATTATGCTCCAAGATGTTACAGAGGTGGAAATGAGCAAATTTCAGTCAGTATAAAATAGATTTATTGTCAACATTCAGTCATTAATACAACCCAGGTAAATGAAACATCACTTCATACAAGGCTCAGATACTCTAAAATCTATCTTAACTTCACACACAAATGATAAATACTTAAAAATTACAAAGCAAGGGAAAATATTACAAAAAATACAATTGTTATAGATCCTTGTATGAAATTTCCTCATTTTTGAAGTTCTGCCTTAGGGAATAATACCATGCTACATATCGGAACCAAAAATAAACTATGTTCCTTGAGGTTACAATGCTCAACAATATACTGAATGCACTCTAAAATATCATGTCTGACAAGAACCAAAAGGGAGAAAAAGAAGGCCTTCACTGATGCTGAGAGAAAGAGAGGAGTAATCAACTGTCATATGCTGATTTCTGCTGGAATGGCCTCATTAAACAATTTTTAGCATTGCAGAAGAAGGGAAAAAGGAGACCAGTCTCCGCTTTATATAAACGATTTCCAAATCAGCACAAACTCAGGCAATTCTAAAAGGCACTGCTCCACTCTTCAGCCCTTTACATGAACTCCTTGTCCTATGTCCATGTTTGTTTCTAATTTCTTCATAAGGGTTCACCACACTCTGTTTTCTATCATCCAACATCCAAACCAAAAGTCAATAAGCAAAACAAAAGAATCTACCAGTCAGGTCGGTTCCCAAGACACAAATTTTGGTTTAGATATTGATGATGAGATTTATGCATACCCATCCCACTTCCATACACACTCCACCTCCCCTTACATATTGACTCCATCCTCAATTGTGAGGCAGTATGAAGTTTTAAGATTGTTTTTTCCCTCATCAATGATTTGCCTGTTGGCAAACTGCTTTGGTTGGCAGCAATATCAGGAATTGTCTGGAATGCTTGTAGAATAGACAAAAAGGATGTGATCAGTGAATTACTGTAACCTATTATGGTGGGCTTCTGCAGGCACACAGGAAGAATCTACCTTACAGACTTCCCTCACTCATTCAGAAGGGAGAAAAATGTGTCTTAAAAAGGGAAGAAAAAAGATTAGATAAGGAAATACAGTAAAATATTAATACTGTAATAATAGCAGGAAAAGGAATGCTTATAGCCAACCTACCTTGTTCAGAAGTTTCTGGCATAAAAATCAAACTTTCTCTCCCATTATTCTCTCTGCAAGATTAATAGTTGCTTTACATCAAGAGGATCAGAAAGCCAATAAAAACTTTTCTTCAAAGGTAGGGAGTTTCTTTTTGAAATGAGCATTAGGGAAAGGAGGTAAAGGTAGGGAAAGCTCACTCAAAGAGGTCCTCAAACATGCGTTGTCCCATTGCTATGTATGCTTCCTTCTCCTCTGGTGTCATCTGGGCCACCAGCTCTGGCCGCTGGCTCACTTCACTGTAGGAGAATGGACGGCCAGCCACCATAACAGTGGGGTCATCTGCTACTTCCTCAAACTCATCATCTTCCTCATCCTCTTCCCGATGAGGTGCAGCCACAGCTGCCAGACGGGGTGGGGAGTCATCATCTGACTCACTGGTCTCACTCTCCGAGTCACTGCCATTGGCAGCAGTCACAGGAGCAGCTGCCCCTACTGAGCCCGCCGTGGCAGAGGGGGTCTTCTTCTCATGAATAAGCAGTGCTCGCATGACCTCCTCGTTATCATCCGGCCCTGCACGGCCTTCCTCGCGCTCTTGAAATGCATCTATATCTATGCCACCTGGGACGCAAAACCCAGAAAGTTAATATAAGACATTCCTTTATAACCAATATTTAACATTTTAACATATTATATTTACATACAGGATAACAGTAATAAACAACACAGACTTCACTGGTTCCATTTTTTGAGCTGCTACCCGTAATATATTCAAAATGTTTCTCACAAACTGGAACTTACGTAGCACAATGTTTAAGTACATGGGTTTTAAGAGTAATATAGCCTGGATTTGAATCCTGGCTCTTTCACATACAAGCTGTACCACCTTGGTCAAGTTATGTAGTCTCTAGATTTCAGTACCTTTTTCTGTAAAATGGGGCGATAAAAGCATCTACCTTCTAGGGCTCAGGATAAGAACATATGAAATAATGTTAATGAAGGGCCAAGTATAGTAGCTGGCATAATAAGAAATTAAAACATGGCTCCTCATATTGCTCAGAGTAAAAGCCAAAGGCTCAACAATGGCCTATCAGGTCCTACATCACCTGGAACCCCTCCTGCCCACCTACTGTTTCTTTTCCTTCCCCTTGCTCCTTCTGCTCCAGCCACAGTGGCCTCCATGGTATTCCTTGTACACAACACACATACTCCCACCTCAGGGCCTTTGTACAGTGTGTCCCCTCAGCTTAGGATATTTTTCCTCTAGGTATCATACAGCTAACTTCCTTACATCTTTCACGTCTTTACTCAAATGTCATCTTCTTTTAATTCACCCCCACTCCTATATTCCCAAGGCTCTATTTTTTTCCCCATAGCACTTATTTTCTAATTTAATAAATAACTTACATATAAACTTATGTATATTGTCTTTGTCACCCCCTTTTCCCAGGATGTAGATTCTCCACAACAGATATTTATCTTTTTTATTCAGTGATATATCCCACGTACCTAGAATAGTGCCTATCATTTGTTAGGCACTGAACAAATATTTAATGAATGAGTGAATAAATGCAGTCTTATTTTCCTAAAGCAAACTAAGCGTACTTTGAACTCTTTATAGAAAGGCATCTAGTATCAGGAATGAAGCTTCTCTCACCACACGCCTCCTATCATTTTGTGTACACATCTTGCCTGATATATAGCAGACGAAAAATTTAAGAAAAATATTTGTATTCAGTATTCTGAAAATACTACCAAACATACTGCCATTTAAAATATATAAAAGGATCAAAAGTGTTGTTTGGAACCTGGCTCCTTGATTCAAATCCTGACTCTAATACTCATTAGCTGTGTGATTTTGGCCAAATTACTTCATCTTTCTATGCTTCAATTTTCTCAAGTACGAAAATCAAAAAAAATCATAGCATCTACCTCACTGGATTATTGTGGGGATTAAGTGAATATCTGTGGTGTGCTTAGGATAACCCTAGCACTTAGAATAGTCATCTATCGTCTTCATTATCATCAAGAGAAGGCTCAGAAACGGTCGATTCTGCCTATGAATGAAATGAAAGCATCTTCTCATTAACGCATTAGAATGGATTAGCTGTAACCTTGGACATTTTAGAAAGTATAGAACTCCTGAGGTGAGATATTGGGTAGATAAGACAAAGGGAAACAGGAATTCAGAAGGCGAAAGTTTAAGTCAGAGAAAACAGGCTTTTGATAACACAGATATAAAACTGAGAATTAAAATCAAACTCTACTTTAAAACATTGCCAAAGGCTGAACTTCCTCCCTAGAGCCCTTACTGCCAATGCAGCATTTCAACAGGAAAAGAAAGACAAGGAATGCATACAAGTCTCTAAGGCAATCATCGCTTCTAAAAGAATGTTCTAAATAGCTTAATATTACCAACATATTTTGATTAAGGTTTAAAGTAAAGATAAAATTTGGGGAAAAGCAATTTAGTTTTGTAAACTAAATGAAGTCATATCTAACAGATAAAGGTCTTGAGACATTTGTGGAAAAAGGAATTGTTCTGTTATAGATGAAGACAAGAAATAAAAAATAAAGATAAATGAGCAAATCTCTGGATGGTAGGGTAGAAACACTAGTTTTAGGAACAGTCTTATTTAATAGTTAAATATTACAAAGAAAATGTACACCATGGAATGGTCATGTTCACAGATGATGCTAAGCAATTGTGGGTGCTTAAAGGCCAAGCTGATGGCAAAAAATACATAGAAAGAGCTGAAGGTTGTAAAGTGGGCAGGAAAGTGGCAGATCTAGAGGTCTTTCTCAACTAATGATGGGGTTATGTCCCAATAAATCCATCATAAGTTGAAAATATCATAAGTCAAAAATGCATTTAATACACCTAACCTACTGAATATCATAGCTTAGCCCAGCCTACCTTAAATGTGCTCAGAACATATACATTAGCCTACAGTTGGGCAAAATCATCTAACACAAAGCCTATTTTATAATAAAAGTCTTGAATATCTCATGTAATTTATTGAATACTGTACTGAAACTGAAAAACAAAATGATTGTCTGACTATGGTTGATGTCTGAGTGACGGTCTGGTTGTAAGTGTATTCGTTGTTTACCCTCGTGATCACATGGCTGACTGAGAGCTGCAGCTCGCTGCAACCGCCCAGCATCACAAGAGTATTGTACCACATATTGCTAGCTAGGAAAAGATCAAAATTTAAACTTTGAAGTACAGTTTCTACTGAACGCATATCGCTTTCACACCATCATAAAGCTGAAAAATCCTAAGTCAGACCATCATAGGTCAGGGACCGTCTACTTCTATACTGGCAAAAGAAAATCTGCCTATGGAAAAATAATGTAAAATATACTGAAAGACAGGTCCAAGCTATCAGATACAGGGCAGGAGAAGGTCTGAAAAAATCCCTGCACGTGTCTCCCAAGTTCTTAGTCGTAATATGCTTCCAGAACCAAAGCAACAAAGAGTCAGACAAAAATCAGAAGGATACTGGAAACAAAACTCAGATCATTAACAATAAATCCATGCATGAACAACATGTACTGTTCTGGGCACTAGGTATCAAGTAAAGTATTATATGATGGAAGATGGTCCAGAAAAAGACCATCATCTAATTAAAATAAAACAAAAACTGTGGGTGGAGGTTGCTTGAGGGTAGAGGACTATTTGTAAGGAAAGCAGAATCAAAAGAAATTAGAACTTTCAGTATAGTAATGAGGACATGACTGAAGTCTATAAAATTCTGAAAGATATTAAAAAAAAGTCTGAGGAAAATTAAGTAGGACAAATAAGACTCACTTCACACATTCACTGGATAGAGCCTATTCTACTATCATAAAACTTAAAGACAAATTTAGACACGACAGCAATACTATCCTATTGTATAGAGAAAGAAATATTCACAAAACTAACTTGGGTAGGCTAGACGACTTATTTAAGGCACTTACAGTTGAAATTCTATCATTCAAGGAACTGTAAACATCGAATGTTAAGCTTATGAGTCTAACCATATTTAATATTGGCTAACAATAGTTTTATTTTATTTTATTTTGTTTCTAAGTTCAAAGAAAGGAACGTTCGGTTGCCTCAAGAACAGGCAAGAAGCCAAGTTGGGGAAAACACATCTATTAAATAGTTGACAGTCTAACTACTATATAAACTAAAACAACTTGAATCAAAATAACCAAACATCGTACCCAAGCTAATCAGTGGCAAGGAGGGAGAGTGAAAAATGGTTGCCAAGGAAAACTTTTTCTGATTGGAATTAAAACACCAAAGAGAATCACACTAAAGGTATTACCTGCTTTTACCATCACTACCCAACTCCACACTACTTTTACAATTCTTGGCATACACAGTAAAGAAGTATGAAGGGAAAAGAGGTTAGGAGAAAGGCCAAACAACAACAGTGGTTTTCAATTACTGATGATTCTTTAGCGTTAAAGCAGCATAATCAGGTGATATGCAAGTGATGATACATAACCTGGGAATAGGGGCACACAGATTCCAATGCTGAGGAAACGAATCAGAGGTACAGACTTCCTTTCAGTCCTCCTTCCCAGGTTCTGAGCGATCTTTGTCCAGTCTTAGCCTCCCATTTTCTACATACTCCTAAACCATCATCACCCAAAGTCTTTGAATCCAGTAACTTAAGACTAAAATTTAAAAGGTAAAATCTTGCAGTTCTCAAACTTCTGGTTATTGTGCAATTCTTACCACTTTAGGGCTCACAGAAATTTCTAAAGTCTTCTAGTGTAAAGTTCCATAATTCTTCTTGAATGGTGAGAATCCTTGATTCTCACTCAGGTAATATCTTTTTATATAATTCAGGCAGCACAAACTCCTTGGTATTTATGAAGAAACAACATAAGAAATTTGGTCTAGTGTATAGTTACGGCTCCCAATTCAGAGAAATAAAACTGCAGGTAAGTTAGGGCAACAGAAGAATAAAGAAGAGGTGAATTTGGCCACCTTGAACACAATAGCACTTTTCTAAGAAATTAGGATAAATAGATAGTAATTTCTGAAATTTAAAAATGGAGATTTAAAAAGCTATTTGTTATTTCAACTAAGTTGAAGGATAATACAAGTATATTGGTTGGTTTTAATGCTTATTGCTCAATTTCTTACTTCCTAGTATTATGCAATTGTTTCGTAAAACAGATACAGTGGATTACCAATAAAACTAAGAATTGCCCAGGCAATTTCCCATTAAGTCAGGTTCATTTTCTACTGAACCCAAGTCATATTCATTTTACTGACTTCTACTCTTACCTTCCTTCATCTCTTCAGAGCTATATGCTCCTTGGACAGTGCTTTCTCTCAACCAAATGGGTCTCTCTTTGGCAGACTTGCCCTCCAATGAGGCTCGATGAAGATCTTCCTGGTCATCCATGTTAATGACAACATTCTGAGTGTATAAGTCCTCATAGGAGGGACCTTTGGTGGCCCATGCTTCCCGGTGGTGCCCACCTGCCAGGCCAGCAGATCCAGTGGTAGCTGCTGCACGGTCCTTGCTATATAAAAAGATTAGAGGACAGGAAGAAGAAAAATTAAAGTCTTGGTGTTGGAAAAATAGGGCAGCTGGGGAGGTGAATACTAAAGTATTACAAATAAATGCTATGTAGCAATCATGCTTTAACAATTCTGAGAAACCTCTCTCATACCTCAAGGAGAAAGTTGAATGGGTTAGAAGAACATGGCATATTTATATTTAAGTTCCTGGATCCTCTGGTGTGTATAAATGACGAAGGTTTTATAGTTTAAGATGTTTCAATAAATCTACTTAGGGAGAGGAGAATGATATGGTGACATAATCCATAACCCAAAATCTCTCCCAGTCACATCTTTCATGAGTATTTTGTTTAAAAAACAAAACAAGCAAAACAAAATGCATTACATTTTTAAAAGCATTCTCTCAGCTCAACCCAGAATAAGTCAAAGCGGTTTTGTGCACTTTTCTCTTTGGTGTGCTGGGAAGCTAGAAAAGTATTCTACAAAGCCAGACCTCAACTTAGAGTTAACGCTTTTCTCCTGCTACTCACCAAAAAAGGCATATCCCTATGCACAGATCAGACTCTTTTCTACTGCGTTGTGTTCTTCCATCCCTGCACCTACACCGACTCTCCAGGTCCACCCCCAACCATTATCTCTACCCTGCAGTAACCATGATCTAATTCTCAGTCTATTTTGTTTTGCTTTTTACTGCTACTACCCATGATCTTCTTAGCTTGTTCCAGGCCTGCTCATTCCTTGTATGTTGCCTCATTTCTAGGAGTTAAGTCAAGTTTTCAGTCTTTCTGCTGCTCCCCCGTTTTATCTGCTTGTTTCACTTTCAATCTGTTCTACATTCTTTTGACTATACCCCATTCTCTGTGTGTTTAAGCTCATGCCTTGTCTTTCTCTGCCTGCTACTGATGCTTTCTGCATCAACTTCTGTGCATGACTCTCCCTCCCTCTCTGTTTACACAGCTACGTTTTATCCCATAAACTATCTTTTTTTCATAAACGACCTGATCTGTCTCCATACCTTTTGCTGTGTTCCTTTCAGTCACTGGCTGACTCTCGTGGCCCCATGTTTCTCCTTTACTTCTCTTCCATTCTTCTCTAAATCTTTTCCGTGGATCCTGGACTGTTTCCTAAGTGGAGCCTGTCTCATTTTGAGCCTAACCAATACTTCTTCACTTGTTTTTATGTTCTGTACCACTTCTCTCTCTCAGAAGTCGTTCACTATTTTTCCTTCTTTTTGGTTCAACTTCATTTCTACTTACTCCATTGCTCTTCCTGGCCCACTTTTACCTACTTGAGCCTTCTGCCTCATGCTTAGTTGAGATTTCTCTGTATATATCTCTGCCCATGTATCTGATTGGCCCCTTACATCTCTCCCTGAGAGCACTGTGTCTCTCTCTGACCATCCTCTGTAGGTAACCCTGGGCTTATCCCATCCTTCCTGCTCTGCCTCTGGATCTCTACAGGCCCACTGCCATCAAGTGCTATTTTTGCTATCAAGAAATGTGCTCTCTCCAGTTGTCCAATCCATGCCAATCCAGTCATTTAATCCATGCCTGCCAGCTATCGCCTCCAGCTATACCCAGGGCTGCTTTGGAAACCATCCCTTCCCATCACCTCTGTACCAGTTATTTGCTCTCCTACTCTGAGTCTAAGTCTACGAGGCATCTCTCTGTACCCAATCCATCTATTTGTCTTGCTATATTAAAGTTTTATCCTGCAGCTGCAAGTAACTGGTCTCTTTCTACCTTTTATTTCTTTCTGCATTCATCTAATGTCTTTTTCATGATTTACTAGGTTTGTCTCAATTTAATCTTTTTCTGTCCCTAGTCATTCTCTTTCTATCTTCTACCTGTCCCATGTTGTCTTCCAAAAGGCTGTTGTCTCTGTCTTCACTATAATCTGCCTACACTGGTGGAAGTTGGCTTTTTGAATTCTGGTCTCCTTCAAGCATTCACTTCTCTTTCTCTTCTCTTCTCTCCTGGCCTGATCTGTATTTATGTGTTTCTGTGTTTGCTCTACATTCTGAGTCTCTCCTCTCTCACTCGGTTGTCTCTGTGACTCCTTTTACTATCTCTACTATCCTCAGCCAACATCCTTATCTTGTGCCAAGCTTGCTCTATATGCCTGTCTTCCCCCAAATGTGTCTCCCTGAGCTAACCATACACCTTTTCTGTCTCTTTCCACCAATGTTTCTCTAGTTCTGACCTGGCCAACTACATCCTTGTCCTTAGCTGTCTGTCTCCCCTTCATCCAGACTCTTAAATGAGTCCTCACTCTCTCTGAAGTTACTCTGTTTCTCTCCGTATATAACCTTGAACACATAGTTTTCATCTACGCTCCATCTTTAGCATTAACTCTGAAGACTATCTTCTGAAGGTTAGCAAGAATTTGGTACTTTGAGAACAACAACAAGAGTAGAGATAAAGGACAGGACAATTAAAATAAATGTTAGCACAAGACGACTTTTAAAAGTCTTTTGTTTTTAGTACTCCATCATAGAAACTCAAGACTGGTTTTATTCCAGTTTGAGGCAAGAGAGATTTGACCACAAGTCAAACAAATTTTAAAATTTGGAAGAATATTTTTAGAAAGATATTTTTAACTATGGAGAGTTCACTACATAGATTTTATTTCTACTCTTACCACAGATAAAGACAAATCTAAATCACCAGCAAATGTTATACTAAAGAAAATCTAGGGCCAGCCCCAGTGGCCTAGTGGTTAAGTTTGGCATGCTCTGCTTCAGAGGCCCAGGTTCAGTTCCCAGGCACAGAGCTATACCACTTGTCTGTCAATGGCCAGGCTGTGGCAGCAGCTCACATACAAAAGAGCAGAAGATTGGCAACAGATGTTAGCTCAGGGTGAATCTTCCTCAGCAAAAAAAAAGGAAGAAAAAAAATCTACATGAGAAACACCCAGTTTCACTCCTTCTGTATATTTAAGTTTCTTCTATAAAGAGAACGTCTCTTAAAGATGACAAAAGTGACAATTCAGTTTTGAATCTTTTTCTATTATTTTAAAAATTCTAGAACTTCTAAAAGATACAACCCTTCTCAGGGTAAGGGAAGACTATTATTTCAAAACTAAAATTTTAAAGATCTTTAAGGTGAGTATTAAATAAGATATAATGGAAAAAGCAAGGAATTCCATTGAAGAAAGATAGGAAGACTTTAAATAGCACCAACAGGTTGGCTTGCTGAAAGGCCAACAGTTCTCTGCAATTCAAACATTAGGGTACAGTGATAAAAATAGGGAGCCATAGTTAGAAGTATTTACCCACAGGTAACACCAACTATGTTTCACTTTCAAGGAAGTTGCACTGAAAACTAAGGCAGGCAAGAAATGTGTGGTTAAAATACTTTAAAAACAAAAAAAAAGCGAATGCTGTATCCCTTAAAGAACTTCAGCCCCCAGAAGTTGGCTAGGAAAATTCAAATATCCCCAAGAGGTACAACCAATTTAGGATTAGCTAACAATTGGCTGAGTTGCAGCAGGCCCAAGCAGAGTGAGTACTTGAAGTCAAATCTGACTATTTAAAGATTTTTGCCTAAGGCCCACACTGTTCTGCATTCAGTATAAATTTCATCACAGGCACAAGTTAGTAAGACGTGTGTGGCAGAGCTTAGAATCCATGTAACATTATAGTATTTAGTCTCCTGGTAAATTACTTACCCACTCCTGCTCTCCAAAGTACAGGTAGTTAAAACAAGGGCGAGCTTCAAAGTGTTTTTGGTAAGACACAAGGCCTACACTCACCTCTGTTTCAGGGCTGGTATTTCTGTGGGTTCTGGCTCAAGTATTTCATAGGCCAAGTTCACATCCTCTGTCTCCCGAAGCAATGCATAAATGGGCTCAATTTGTTCATTAAACCTTGCCAGAAGAGTGCGTGCATCTTTTTTGGGCATTGCTGATTCATCTTCTTCTACCTCTGTATGGCAAAAAGTACAGCGGAAAGTTCCTACAGAGAAAAAAATAGTCTCATGTCAGGCAAGAGAAATCCTTTAGCGAATAGTTGATATCTCCACTCCTCCTCTGACAAGTTATTACTAAAACTTTCAAATATACAGAAAAGTTGAAAGAACTTTATAGTAAACATCTATGTGCCCACCATCGAGATTCTACAATTAATAGTTTGCTATATTTATCACATTTCTATCTACCTATCACTTTTTGATGCATTTCAAAGTAATTTCACCACTAACTGTGACATAGCAAACAGTTTTTTTTTTTGACCATTTTTTTTTATTGAGTTATTGATAGGTTACAATCTTGTGAAATTTCAGTTGTACATTAATGTTTGTCAGTCATGTTGTAGGTGCACCACTTCACCCTTTGTGCCCACCCCCCACCCCACCTTTCCCCTGGTATCCACTAAACTGTTCTTAGTCCATAATTTTAAATTCCTCATATGAGTGGAGTCATACACAGATTATTCTTCTCTCGCTGGCTTATTTCACTTAACATAATTCTCTCAAGGTCCATCCATGTTATTGCAAATGGAATGATTTTGTTCTGTTTTGCAGCTGAGTAGTATTCCATTGTATATATGTACCACATCTTCTTTATCCATTCGTCTGTTGCTGGACACTTAGGTTGCTTCCACGTCTTGGCTATTGTAAACAGTGCTGCAATAAACATTGGGGTGCATAGGACTTTTGGGATTGCTGACTTCAAGCTCTTTGGATAAATACCCAGTAGTGGGATGGCTGGATCGTATGGTAGTTCTATTTTTAATTTTTTGAGGAATCTCCATACTGTTTTCCATAGTGGCTGCACCAGTTTGCATTCCTACCAGCAGTGTATGAGGGTTCCTTTTTCTCCGCAACCTCTCCAACATTTGTTGCTATTAGTTTTAGATATTTTTGTCATTTTAACGGGTGTAAGGTGACATCTTAGTGTAGTTTTGATTTGCATTTCCCTGATGATCAGCGATGATGAGCATCTTTTCATGTGCCTATTGGCCATCAGTATATCTTCTTTGGAGAAATGTCTGTTCACGTCTCCAGCCCATTTTTTGATTGGGTTGTTTGATGTTTTGTTGTTGAGTTGCAAGAGTTCTTTATATATTATGGATATTAAGCCTTTGTCAGATATATGACTTGCAAATATTTTTTCCCAGTTAGTGGGTTGTTTTTTTGTTTCAATCCTGTTTTCATTTGCCTTGAAGAAGCTCTTTAATCTGATGAAGTCCCATTTGTTTATTCTTTCTATTGTTTCCCTTCTCTGAGAAGGCATGGTGTCCGAAAAGATCCTTTTAATACTGATGTCAAAGAGTGTACTGCCTACGTTTTCTTCCAGAAGCCTTATGGTTTCGGGTCTCACCTTTAGGTCTTTGATCCATTTTGAGTTTATTTTGGTGAATGGTGAAAAAGAATGGTCAATTTTCATTCCTTTACATGTGGCTTTCCAGTTTTCCCAGCACCATTTGTTGAAAAGACTTTCTTTTCTCCATTGTATGCCCTCAGCTCCTTTGTCAAAGATAAGCTGTCCATAGATGTGTGGTTTTATTTCTGGGCTTTCAATTCTGTTCCATTGATCTGTGCACCTGTTTTTGTACCAGTACCATGCATAGCAAACAGTTTTTAATCATATTTCTAACATTTAACTTATTTTAACTTAAAACCAAATTCTTTATAGCTTCCCATTGAAACTTGCACCTTTTCCCAACAGCCTTCCTTTTGTATATGACACATTAGGGTCTACATTATGGGGAAAGCCAAATAAACACCTAAAACCAAGTCCTTAGTCATCCTGTACGTTGTTTCAAGGCGATTTCCTCAAACTTACTAATTATTTCTCTCTAAACAAATTTAATTCAATCCATTTCCAAAATTAAAGTTCAGAAGCCTTTATTGTTCTTATTTCTATATCCCTCACATTCAACTTGTAACTAAATTGTGGTAATTCCTTAGAAACATCTCAGATTTTTCACTTCTACTATCATTTCACTAATCTGGGCCACCATTACTTAGCCTGAAATAGCTTCCTCAATCTGGTCTTTGAACCCCTAGGTTCTCCTTCTCCAATTCCAAGTGTCCTATCGCACCATTTTTATCATCTTATCCCCTGCTCTAAAGTCCATCTGGTAACTGAATTCCTAAAGTCCACGGCATCAAATCTAAATTTCGCATCCTAACATTCAAGACCCTATATAATTTGGCCCAAAAACATCATAAACACAGTCCTTTACCTGTCAAGTAGATTCAAACATTTGAGAGATGATATACTAGACATTACTATTTATCTTATTTGTATACTGCTTTCTGTTTCTAAAACGCTTCTATGCACACTTTTCAATCCTTATACCAAGCCTGGAAAGAGGCTTTGAGGAGTTTTGTGATTTGTCCAAAAACGTGTAGCCAATTAAAAAAACGTAACAAGAGCAGCTATTATATACCGAGTGCTTACTAAGTACCAAGTATCACCAACCGTCTGAGGCTGGTATTATTGTCCATTTAAATCTGCAAAATACAGAGGTTCTAAGGGGTTAAGTAATTTGCTCAAGATCATACAACTAGTAATTGGGGAAGGAGGCAGGACTCAAACCTAAAACATTATGCTGAAACTCACACTCTTAAAATTACTTAACAGTCTACCTCTCTAGCCCCTCTTGGATCTCCAGTTTGGTTCTTATTCCCAATGCCAGGGATAGGCATCCTTCCTTTCTAACCCAATTTACCTGAGGGATTGAAAGAGATCATACAATACTTAGTGCCTGGCACACTGTGAGAACACAAACATTTAGCTTTAAAAAGCCCCATATATGATTGATACATAACCCCACCCCCTAACCCGTCTTCCCCAGGTAAGGAATAAACAAACTAAGCATCTCTACCGCAACATAACAAGAGATCCTACTGATATATTTCAAGCAGAATAAGTTTCTTTACTGCTTCTCACATATAAACAGCCAACACCATGTAAATTCTTTGTTCATATACCTTGTCTAAAATACACTTGATCCATCTTCCTGCTGTCCAAATGCTACCTAATCTTTTATATCTGTTCCAAATAAGTGAGAAAGATAGAGAAAAACAGCCCTTCACAGGTAGGAGGTGGCCCAGCACGTGTAGCTAGGCTGTGATGATTTCTGTCAAACAGATTCTCACAGATCACCCATATCAGATAAGGTCCTCTGTGACCATGATGGAAGTGAGGCAACACCAAGCCAGTTTGAGTCTGAATCTGTCTGAGTACAGACAAAAGCAAGGTCTCTGTACAACTAAAAAGAATCGCAGCTAACACGAATGACTGATGCTGCTTTAACGATTGCAGTTTTAGCCTTGTCCTCTTCCTCTTATCTCCTAGATAAGATTTATTAAGATATCCAATCACAGAATTATCCTCACTTCTTGACAACACCCAACCCAGAGCAAACCCCCACCATGTCCCTGAATCCTCCCCAAAATTACCTAACAAATAACCAAATTCTCTAAGTCTGTCCAGTACAGTCTTACTGAGACAGTCCATGGTTCCCCATGCTTCCCCTGCTACAGAAAGCATCAGTAAAGCCCTCTTTGTTGACTACGGGCACGTACCTGATGGTCTTTACTAACAGGCATTGACATACAGATTCTAGCTTGACCAACTTGAGAAGGATACTATTTACCAAAATAAAGAAAGAAAGGAAGAACAAGTTCTATTTTCTTCATGTGGAAAAGATATAAAGTTGGTTTAGATATCTGAATCCACGTTGCCCACTGGCCATCAAAATGGCTATGTGAGAAGCCAAATTATTACAACTGCTTAGAGCTCAAGAGTGGAATTTGGACTAGAAATTTTTATATGAAAATCAACAACATATAGATGGTAACTGAAGCCATAAAGTAGATCAGAGCATCCAAAGAGATTAAGAGTGAGAAGAATTGGTAGTCAAGGTAAAAACCCAAGGAAAGAGGAATCGTTGAGACAGAAATGGTACAACCAGAGGGATAGGAAAGTGTTTCAAAGAAGAAATGGTATGGTGTTAATTTTTCAAAGTCAACAAGAATTGAAAACCAGTTTTTACATTTAGTAACAAACAGTAATTAGTGACCTTGACTACAGAGGTTTTAGCTGGTATGCCATCTTATTCTCTAACTATTCCAGGCTGCCTCAGCCTCTTCTCTTCAATGGCAATAAGGAATATAATCCACATGGGAGTTAAAAAATAAATCATATAAAGTAAGGTCTAAATCAGCTCTTGGATACCTGAATTAAGAAAACACACTGATGTGGGACTTATGTTGACTGCTGAAAGATGGGTACTTACAGAGACTGTCAATGAGAACTGGAGAATACTACAGAGAAGTTATCTAATTCAGTAGTTTTCAAAATTATTTTTAAAGGAAGACATCCCATTCCTTAAGTGAAGAAAACCTAACATATAAACTAAAAGCAAGTGCTCTGGTTGGACCACAGAAAGACAGCTAAGACAAAGAGCAACACTAACAATCCTTTCAATGTGTCTTCAAAACATTACAAACCAGCCTCCTCTTGATCCGGGATCACCACAAAAATAAAGCACGTAAGCATTCTGGAGTTCAAAGAAGGAATATGACTTCTAGCTGAGGGCACTAGGGAAGGTTTATGGAGAAGGTGTGCCTTTTGAGGTAGAAGAAAAGCAGTTGTTACAGAGATCAAGGAAAGGTGGAAGAGGAAAGGACATTCTAGATCATTATAAGAGAAGTAGGTAGCTGAAAATAATGCTAAACTGCAATTTCATTCTAGTAGGAATATGGTTATGAAAAAGAACGGTAAAAAATGGAATTAATAGGATAAACTAGGGTGGTCATAAGTGGGTCTTGAATGCCAAGCTTCATTTTGACTTCATTCTTTAGTAATAGGAAAGTGAAAGATTTTGGGAAAGAACATGAGGTCATCAAAACTAATATTTATAAGTATTGATCTGCCTTAGTGGCTTGAGGTGGTCTTCCAATAAGCCAGTTCTTAACTGAGTGTTTGCATAAAATTACTAGC